GTGCCACTGCTGCCGTGGGCCCCCCCATGCCATTGCTTGTCAGCTGCCAGGCAGGTGTTTCCAGCACCCAGCCACCAATGGGCCCTTGCCAGCCATGTGCAGAATAATTGTTTTCAGTGTGCACCGAGGCGTGTAGGCTGCGCACCACCAGGAGACACAGGCTGGCGGCTGCGGGCGCTCTGCCAATCAGTCGGGCCGCACTGGACTCTGAGCAGCCACATAAGTGCACAGCTTACAGGAAACCCTGTAACAGGTGAAACATGTCTGCACCGCACAGGGTGGGGGCTCCCCGTGGAACCTGGCCACACGTGTCTGCACCACACAGGGTGGAGTCTCCCCCTGTAACCTGGTGACACGTGTCTGCACGGTGCAGGGTGGGGGCTCCCCGTGGAACCCAGCGACACGTGTCTGACGGTGCAGGGTGGGGGCTCCCCGTGGAACCCAGCGACACGTGTCTGACGGTGCAGGGTGGGGGCTCCCCGTGGAACCCAGCGACACGTGTCTGACGGTGCAGGGTGGGGGCTCCCCGTGGAACCCAGCGACACGTGTCTGACGGTGCAGGGTGGGGGCTCCCCGTGGAACCCAGCGACACGTGTCTGACGGTGCAGGGTGGGGGCTCCCCGTGGAACCCAGCGACACGTGTCTGACGGTGCAGGGTGGGGGCTCCCCGTGGAACCCAGCGACACGTGTCTGACGGTGCAGGGTGGGGGCTCCCCGTGGAACCCAGCGACACGTGTCTGACGGTGCAGGGTGGGGGCTCCCCGTGGAACCCAGCGACACGTGTCTGACGGTGCAGGGTGGGGGCTCCCCGTGGAACCCAGCGACACGTGTCTGACGGTGCAGGGTGGGGGCTCCCCGTGGAACCCAGCGACACGTGTCTGACGGTGCAGGGTGGGGGCTCCCCGTGGAACCCAGCGACACGTGTCTGACGGTGCAGGGTGGGGGCTCCCCGTGGAACCCAGCGACACGTGTCTGCACCACGCAGGGTGGGGGCTCCCCGTGGAACCCAGCGACACGTGTCTGACGGTGCAGGGTGGGGCCCCCCGTGGAACCCAGCGACACGTGTCTGACGGTGCAGGGTGGGGCCCCCCGTGGAACCCAGCGACACGTGTCTGACGGTGCAGGGTGGGGCCCCCCGTGGAACCCAGCGACACGTGTCTGACGGTGCAGGGTGGGGCCCCCCGTGGAACCCAGCGACACGTGTCTGACGGTGCAGGGTGGGGCCCCCCGTGGAACCCAGCGACACGTGTCTGACGGTGCAGGGTGGGGCCCCCCGTGGAACCCAGCGACACGTGTCTGACGGTGCAGGGTGGGGCCCCCCGTGGAACCCAGCGACACGTGTCTGACGGTGCAGGGTGGGGCCCCCCGTGGAACCCAGCGACACGTGTCTGACGGTGCAGGGTGGGGCCCCCCGTGGAACCCAGCGACACGTGTCTGACGGTGCAGGGTGGGGCCCCCCGTGGAACCCAGCGACACGTGTCTGACGGTGCAGGGTGGGGCCCCCCGTGGAACCCAGCGACACGTGTCTGACGGTGCAGGGTGGGGCCCCCCGTGGAACCCAGCGACACGTGTCTGACGGTGCAGGGTGGGGCCCCCCGTGGAACCCAGCGACACGTGTCTGACGGTGCAGGGTGGGGCCCCCCGTGGAACCCAGCGACACGTGTCTGACGGTGCAGGGTGGGGCCCCCCGTGGAACCCAGCGACACGTGTCTGACGGTGCAGGGTGGGGCCCCCCGTGGAACCCAGCGACACGTGTCTGACGGTGCAGGGTGGGGCCCCCCGTGGAACCCAGCGACACGTGTCTGACGGTGCAGGGTGGGGCCCCCCGTGGAACCCAGCGACACGTGTCTGACGGTGCAGGGTGGGGCCCCCCGTGGAACCCAGCGACACGTGTCTGACGGTGCAGGGTGGGGCCCCCCGTGGAACCCAGCGACACGTGTCTGACGGTGCAGGGTGGGGCCCCCCGTGGAACCCAGCGACACGTGTCTGACGGTGCAGGGTGGGGCCCCCCGTGGAACCCAGCGACACGTGTCTGACGGTGCAGGGTGGGGCCCCCCGTGGAACCCAGCGACACGTGTCTGACGGTGCAGGGTGGGGCCCCCCGTGGAACCCAGCGACACGTGTCTGACGGTGCAGGGTGGGGCCCCCCGTGGAACCCAGCGACACGTGTCTGACGGTGCAGGGTGGGGCCCCCCGTGGAACCCAGCGACACGTGTCTGACGGTGCAGGGTGGGGCCCCCCGTGGAACCCAGCGACACGTGTCTGACGGTGCAGGGTGGGGCCCCCCGTGGAACCCAGCGACACGTGTCTGACGGTGCAGGGTGGGGCCCCCCGTGGAACCCAGCGACACGTGTCTGACGGTGCAGGGTGGGGCCCCCCGTGGAACCCAGCGACACGTGTCTGACGGTGCAGGGTGGGGCCCCCCGTGGAACCCAGCGACACGTGTCTGACGGTGCAGGGGGGGGGCTCCCCGTGGAACCCGGCGACACGTGTCTGACGGTGCAGGGCTGCCGAGGCCCGGCCATGCTGTGTATGTGTTTGCAGAGCCAGGGTTTGTCATGGGCCGTCTCGGGCCGTCCCCCCTCCTGCTTGTCCCCATGAGCGCTGAGCCGGTTGGGGCCCCCCGTGGAACCCAGCGACACGTGTCTGACGGTGCAGGGGGGGGGCTCCCCGTGGAACCCGGCGACACGTGTCTGACGGTGCAGGGCTGCCGAGGCCCGGCCATGCTGTGTATGTGTTTGCAGAGCCAGGGTTTGTCATGGGCCGTCTCGGGCCGTCCCCCCTCCTGCTTGTCCCCATGAGCGCTGAGCCGGTCCGTGCAGGGGGAAAAGCAAACAATAGGTCCCACGAGTGAGCGGCTCTTCTCCCCTGCAGGTGCCAAGGCTGCTTTGGGACAGAGGGAGGCGCTGGCGTTCCCGGCGGGAGACCAGGTGGGTGCAGTGTCCGTGCTGGCTCCATGTGTTGTGGGCATTGGGCGTTGCCTTCCTCCCAGGCTCACCGGGCGCTCTGCAGCGGGCAGAGACCCCCAGAGAAACCTTCCCGCTTCCATCCCCGGCCTTCCAGCCACTCGCCTCCTTGGCCTGTCTTCTCACCCGCCCTCAGTGCCCGGCCTGGGCCAGCCTCTCTGCTCCAAGCCGCTGCTTTTCCTCGGGCTCAGCGCCGAGGCGGCATGTCAAAGGGCTGGAACGCCACGTCCGGTCTCTGGAGGTGTGGGGATGGTGCCCTGTGCCCGCTGGGTCCCTGGCATGGGGAGGCCCGCTGGAGGGCGCGTGGGACGTTAGGAAGGGCAGGAGACGCACGCTGTCCGGGCACCCCCACGCCTCGCTTGGCAGCGGAGTGGTGCGAGCCGGCGGCGGGCGAGACCGCAAGGAAAGCAAAGGGAAGGCTGGGGAGCTGTGTGCGCTGGGCGCTTGGTGGGGGACACTCGGAACACCTCCCAGGTCTGCCCTGCTTGGAACACCCCGACCTAGCCTTGCCCTTGCCACGAAGGAGCAGGCATTGAGGGCCCCTCCAAATTACCCACTCGCCCCAGAGGCTCCTTAGAGCAGGCTCACAGTATGGGGAAGAATTAGGGGTCCCACAGTGCGGGCTGCATCTTGGGGACCCCCCATGGCATTTGTTTTGATAGGAGGTACTTGGTGAACCCGCACGCGAGGGCCCGCCAGCAATGCTCCCGCTGCTTTTTTCCATCCGTGTGCGGAATGCATTTTGTTCCATGCACCGAGGCATGTGCGGACACGCACCCCCAGGAGAAACACAGGCTGCCGGCTGCGGGGTAGCTCTGCTAATCAGCTGGGCAGTATCTGAATCCCGACCACCCAAGCGTCTCCACTCCCAGGGAGAGAACTCAGCACTGTGCACCCTTCGGTGGGCTCCTGCAGACAGGGTCTGCCCGGCTGCGAGCATGAAGAGCCAAGGGCCTCCCCGCAAAGCGGACGCCCCTTCGTGCTTTGTCTGCGTGTCTTACGCCTGCGAGCGCCCTGTGCTCGGGGTGATCCGGGCCTTGATTTGTTTCAGGACCCGGCTTTTCCCTGAACGGCTGCAGGAGGCCACACAGGATGACAGGTAAGCAGAGGGGCTCCCGTTTTCTGAACCGTGCCGCCAGGCACCCCGGCTGGGGCGTTTTGTGGGAAATCCACATTCTTGTGCCCTGACCTCGCCTGTCCCGAGTTCCTCTGCCTTCACCGGCTTAAAGTCTCGCAGGCGCTCCCCGTGTCTCAACTGAAATCCATTTCCGTGCCTCTGAAGCTTATCGACCCTGCTCCTACCCACTATGCCCTACTGCCACCCCACAGTCCTGGCTCCCAGCCTCATTCTCAGCCCATAGGCCCAGGGCAGGTGAGGCTGGCGTTTTGCTGTGGGTGTCTTACCTGTCTGCTTCTGACTCCCCTGAGCACCTAGCGAGCAAAGAAGGCAAAGATACAGATGTCTGCGAGATAGGGGGAGTGATACACAGTCATTGCTACACATTATACACGATCCACACAGTGTACCTGGGAGAATGGGTGCCTGTAGCTCCACCCACAGTTCCCAGGCTCCGCCTACTCCCCCTTAACAGCCCTACTATCCTCAGTTAAAAATCGTAGCTGTCACCTTCCATCTTGCTATCAGTAGGTTCCAGAGTTAACACCCCCCTTTGCCCCCGATCTGAATGCGGCGGCCGTGTGAGGGCCGGGCGCTGCCCATGTGCTGCTACACTCACATTCACTGGGTGAAATGTTTTCTTCAGGGAAATCCTTTGAGGAAAAAATCGCCCGGGTGTTGGCGTACAAGAGGAGACTCAGTTACCCTGAAGGAATGAATAAATACGGCAGATTCAACCTGCGTCGATTTGCTGCCAAATTTTCTTTGGAAGGCAAGCAAAACGTTCACAGCGCGTCCTGATTTCTCCCCTCCCTGCCCCGGGTGTTCACCGGACCTTCACTGGGGGCCACTGGTTTTCTTCCCCTCTCCCAAAATGTCTCCCTTGCTGCGTCTGTAGGCGCTGCTACAAATGCGCACATGGGGACCCCTCGCCCGGCATTGGGGTGCGTAGGTACCAGTTCCACGGCAGACGAGTGTATGGGGTAAATGTTCCCTACCTTCCCTGTTGTTTAATTGCACACGTCTCGGGGAAGGGGCGTGTTAGACTTAAAAAGCAATGGTTGTGTAGCACCTTAGAGACGAACCAAAAAATATGTAGCTAATACCATGAGTTTTCGTAGGCTGTGCCCACAAAAGCTCACGATATTAGCTACATATTTTTTGGTTCGTCTCTAAGGTGCTACACAACCATTGTTCAAGTGTTTTTATTTCTCACGCGTTTCCTCCTCCAGCCACCGCCCCTCGAGGTTCCCCGAGCTCCGATTTCCAGCCTAGAAAAGTCAGCGTCTCATTCTCAGCAGACGTTGAGTTGCTTGGAAGGCCTGATGAGCTGCCCAGATGCTGTTGAGATGCAGACGAGTTGAGGCTACGAGTTTGTGTCGCGTCCTTTTAGTACCAAGTCACGGCCCTGGTGAAGGGCAATAAAGGAAAATGCCAGAGACCCGGGACCTCTCCGTGGCTCTGATTAAAAATATGTAGGAGACCGTGGGGCATTTGTGGGAGCTGCCGGGCAGACCCTCTCTCCCTGTGGTTCCCGGCAGAGGGGATGCTCTTCCGCTGGGCCAAGGGCCGGAAGGTGGAGGTGGTGCACACCAGGGCACGGGCCCTGCAGCTGTTCGAGCAGAGCCACGACAGTGCCCACGGCGGGCACCACGGCATCATGAAAACCCGGTTGGCGCTGACCCGGCGCTACTACTGGCCCAGCATGACGAAGGACATCAGCGAGTGGGTCTGTAGCGCCTCAAGCCGGCCGGCCGCGTGGGCCGGACCCCTGCCCCCTCCCTCTCCCCGCCGTGGGAGCAGGGCCGGAGCCTAATGGTAGCGTGCGCCTCCCTCCCACCAGGTGCAGCAGTGCCCAACGTGCCAGAAGGGGAGGGCAGACGGCAGGCCCATGGCACGGAAAAGGGTGAACTTTGGACGTGCAGACGGCTGCAAGGTACCCTCAGCACTGTCGCACACGCGGGCACGCACACGCAGGCACAGACACACGCACACGCATGCACACGCAGATGGGCACGCGTGTTGTACTTAGAAGAAGCACTCGGGATCTTTTTCAGGGGGATAAGGCAACACGCCGCGTTTATTGATCACACATAGAATAATCAATACTTATCATATGCATAGGATACATCACACGCATGCACTCTCACACACGCACACGCACACGCCATCCGCTTGGTACCAAAAGTTGCTCCCCCTCCCTGCACTGGCCAGGTGAGTTAGATGGGGGAGGGGTGGAGCCAGGCTTCTGCTGATCCGGATCGATGCTCCCATGTTGACAAGACGAAAACCCGGGGTCCCTCTGCAAGACGCCTCCTATTTCTCCCCCATATGCAGCCAATTAGCCATCACCTGGCCTTTCCCAACGCTGCTCCAGAGAGAGCTTCCAAGGGCAGGCGCTCCCTGCTGGACTCCCCAGGCGTCTGTCTGTCCAGTCTTAACCGGCTCACTTTGCAGGGACGGGGCTGCCTCCCAGCCCCTCTCCACCCTGGCAGCTGCTGCTGGAGGGGCTCCCCTTCCATTCCCCGTTCACAGCTCGTTCATTCCAACAGGGCAACCGAGGAGAGGGGGGAGCTCAAAGACAGTTTCTCTCACAAGATCTAGATCTCTCAATACAAAGTTCTAGAGAAACGTTCCAGGGATTCTATACGGACACTGAACAAAGCTAGATCGAAAAGGACAAGATCTTAATACAATATTACAGGGATTTCTCCACACGCGCACAAGCTCACACACATAGGCACACTCATGGGCACAAACACAGGCACACATGCACAGACACACATGGAGACACGTGGGCACATGCACAGACGCGCACACAGGCACACACACACACAGACATGCACACATGCTCACACAGAGACAGGTCTGTCGGGGGGGGGCGGGGAAGCGGTTGTGCACAGGGACAGGCCT